AATATAATTTTAAACAATTATAAAAACATATAGAAAATAAAAATGTAACCTAATAACAATTTAATTGACCTAATAATAATTTAATTAATTTTGTTGGGCTATTCAAGAATAAACTTCGAGTACTTGAGTAATGCTAATATTTGTTTGTATATACTAGGGTGTCCAGAATTATGCAGTAAAATATGCATACTCAAAATATTTTTATGAATTGTATTTAGTCTTCAAAAATGTTACATTTCATGTTTTTTTTACAGAAACAATACTCAAGTTTATTTTTAAACCATGTATATTTTACTGCCACATCATTCTGGACACCCTAGTACATACCTTCTTTACGATATACAATACAATTTCTTACAATTAAAAATGCTTTGACAATATTCTAAAATTGCATATTAAAATCACAAATATTTATAGCAATTCTGAATTCTAAATTATTGATTTTTTAATAGAAATACTTTGCAATTTAAAATCAACAGTCAAAATTATTTTTAGTACTGCAGTATTTTAATTTTGTCTAATATAGAGTTTAAAATTTAAATTATGAATTCTATTATTTTTTGCTAATATATTTAAAGCCTGAATTTACGCAAATACCAGGATTAATTCATATGTTGTCAAAGTGGATTTACAAAATACAGTCAAAATTAAATAATATTTTAATAATGTTAGCAGTTATGAAACTTTTTAAATTATTTATTTTTGTTCTTAACCTTTTGGTAATAATTCCAAACATAATATCTTTCGCAATTCTATTTCCATTTTATTGCAACCGTTTTGTGCCAAATAGTATTTCTTTTAATACAACAATTGCTAATATTGCATTAAAAGTTTCTGCACTACAAGGCCCTTGTATAGAAATTGCCAGCACAGGAGAATATGCAAACGGAAGCATGTTTACGGTATCTAAAATTGCTTCTGCTGAACTACTTTGCCTTAGTGATGTAGCAGGTGTTCAAGACACTAGAGGAAGTTTGGTTTGGTTTCTTTCTCCTCAAAGATAGATTTGGTCTGGTCTGACAATGAATCCGAATTGGAATTTATCTTGTTAAGCTTTTCATGACATCTTTATTAAAACTAGAAGCTCTTTTGTGAATTATATTAATTATTCTATTTTTTTTAAAGAAATGATATTCAACTGAAGGAAATAAATTTAGTTTTTAAACTTTCATTATAATAAATCCATAATATATTTTGTTTAGAAATTTAATTAGATTTTTTAAAAAATATCGATTTTTAAGGGGTGCTAAAATTTTATCATTAACCAGAAACACATACATTGTCTTCGTTTCTAGAAAAAATGTAATTACCTGTAATATTGTCTTTAAGTGTATAAACCAGCTTAAAATGTAAGATTCATAATTCTAATTCTTAGAAATAAAATTTAAATATATTAATGCTATTAACAGTTAAAATTATTGCAAGCTATAAGATCATATGATTTTGCAGTCCCGTGTAACCATGAAATCATGATAATTGTGCTAGCCTTATTGTAGCTAAACATTGTGCTGCTAAGTTATAATATGTGGGTACAGTATATATTTGAGAGCATATTTAAAAACTATAAATTGGCTCCATTTTTAAAAGAAATCAAAACATTTAAACCAAAAAAAAATTTGATTAAAAAATTGGATTAAAAAGGGGATTTTTGTGTTTTAATAAATATCTGAAAATGGAAAACTTATAAAATTTTAATTAATCATCTATAATTTCTCAGAAAAATTATACCATTTATTTATTATGCTAATTTATATTGTAATATAAGAACAAAAATTTTTAAAAACTTTTTAACAATATTTTTTTAATATTAATTTTATTTGTATATTTTTTCTAAAATGAATCTCCAGAGAATTATAATGCCAATTAGCTAAGAAAGGAGATGAAAGAGAATTTAATTTTACTCAATAATTAAGTAAATGATTATTAGGTCAATTAAATTGTTATTAGGTTACATTTTTATTTTCTATATGTTTTTATAATTGTTTAAAATTATATT